CAAAGTATCAGAAATGCACGAGTAATTTTTGACAACTATAAAATTAAAAACTATATTAAAATATTCTCTTAAGGCTGTGATGCATCTATAATATGTGATTATGATGAAATTTATTCTGTTGTATTATTGTATGTTGCTTACAATGTTGTATAAAACAATGAATAAAAACTAAAAACTCAGAAAAAATTTCCATCATAGTCACTTCTTATAGATACATCATAGCCTGGAGGGAATAGTTTTATAATTATGATTGTACTAATTAGCTCGAGCTGTTTACCTTATTTTAGATAAATTAGAAAGTAGCAAAAAATTTATAATCAACGATAAACATTTTTGTAAAAAAAAAAAAGTTCTTTATTCTAACACAAAAAATAAATCTAAAAAATCTAAATTTAAAATAAGCTATAAAAAATAAAATTTAAAATAAACTATAAAAAATATAAATATAAATATAAAAAACTATAATACTGCAATAACTATCATACTGGCATCGCAGCGGTTAGTTATATGGGCCTAGTATAGTATAAACGGAATTAAGAGATTAAGAAGATAAGATCATTTTTGTTGAGTACCAATTACTTTTTCAGACATGTCAAACATACATATAGCATCTCTTGTGCCGTGACATGTATGTTTTATGTCATGACGATGATTATAAAAGAAAACTTGATATGTATGTTTGACATAAAACATACATATTAAGTTTTCTTTTATAATCATTGTCAAGTATGGTATTATGACTTCTTTTTATTAATTTTTTATTTTAATTTATTGTAACAAAGTAAATCTGCACTTTAGTAAAACTGTTTATTAAACTGATCAAAGAGCTGTACGAACCAATAAATAAAACTAGTGATTGGCAATGAAGCCGCATCTATATCTGATTGTACTTTATTTCAAACCGGATTTAAGTTTTATTAATCTGTTCTTACCGCTCTTATTCAATTTCTGCTCAATTTCACTTACTTAAGCGCCTATAGAATGATGTAAGGTAGTGACCGACATTCTTTAATTGAAATGGTTTTAAATTATTTTTTATTATTGATAGCAAAACTCAAGTCTAAAAATAATGAATAAAGCATCATTTATAAAAGAAATTCATTTTGAATTGCCGAAGGTAATTCAAATCATTTTTTGCGACTAGGATTTAGTATATAAAGGAGGAAGAGGTGTCGTACCCCCTACATATTTTGGGTACTGGAAACAGTATTTAAAAAAAATAAAGGAGGGAGAAAGAGGTTAACCCAATTTAATGTTAATATATTTTTATATTCACTATATAAAATTTTATTTTAATTTTTTCTGTAATACAGTTTTTCATACTCTGGAATAAATCGCAGGAGTTGTTTTTATCTAATTGACTTTGTACAAAAGCTCATTTTAATAAGCTTATGTCCTAAAATAAAAAAATTATAAATCAAAATCAAAAAACTTTCCCCTAAATGTATAAAGAAATTTAGTCATAAAAAAAAGCTTACAATGTTTCAAAACTAAAAAATATTAAACTTTCTTGTTTATCTCAGGACATTTATCCACTTAAAAGGTATACAATTGTAAAACATTAAGACTTAATACATTTCACTTTTTGAGATAACTTTTCCATGAACTTTGCATTTTTTGATCTAAAACCACTTAAGTTTGAAAAAAAGTAGAAAAAAATAAAAAAAAAAACTATTTTTTTTTTTAATGTAAATAAAATAATATAATCGAAATAATAATAGAATAATAATAAATAGAATAATGTCAGATAAAACTTTTTTTTAGTCTACCACGTTAGAAATAGGAGTTTTTCAATTTCAATTTTTATACAAATTTATAATTTCAAGTTTTTGAAAGTCATTATTTCCAGTAAGTTGTCATGAGATAAAAACAGTTGGAAACAATTTAATTTTTGTTCGAATATGTACCATTTATACATTATTATTGTAAATACTTTTAAATATTTTTGTTGATTTAAACTTTGTTTTAAATTATTTGAAAAAGCATTAATTTTACCCTTTGCTCCATATGTGAACCTTTTCATTTTTTTCCAATTTTGCAAAAACATTTTATCAAACAAATACTCTTACGAGAAATTTTTTTTTTTTGTAAGATGCATCTAAAATGATTAAATGGGCTAATACCTGTTCAATTTTACTCTTTTGCCTCAATTATGACTTTTAGCGCTTTGTTTGTGTTTTAAAAAAAATCTTTTCTATTGTTACAAGAGAAATACCCTCGAATAAAATATTTTAGATTTAGGTAACCTAACATTAAACTTGGCGGTCTCTTTGGCCACCCGTGTTACCCGTCATGCGATCATGCTACACTTGCAGTAACCAATGGGTGGATACCCAAACGCCCGGGTACCCGTAAACAGCCTTACTCTTGCTAGTTGAATTGAAAGCATTATAAAAATTGTTAAAAACAATTTAAAAATCAAATCTTTAAACTGCAGTGTTCAATGTAATCAGTTGGAGAATGGAGATTCATTTCATTCAAAAATCATAAAACTTTGGTACAGTTAAGCCCGTCAAATCCATCACCATTACACGCTGATATTATACGCTTTTTATGAACAGTTTTCATTTTATGAAAGCTCTTCATGTTTTTATCGGCAAAGAGAAGGGCAAAACTTTACTTACATTGTGTTTATAAACATGGTACTCAGGTGTTCGAACTACGCTCAAAATTTTTTGAGTAAATCATGTCAATAACAGTCATTAACGGTATTTGAATTCTTTATTGAAGTAATTAAAGTATGGATATTTTGAATAGATCTTTTTTGTTGTTGTTAATAAGATTAATGAATACCAGGATCAACTATTTGACAGCATTTTGAGTAAAATAAGTTTCTTTTTTTTTTTAATGGAACCTTTTCAGTTTCTTCGTAGGTGAATTCAGATTTAGTATTCAATTAATTTTATTACACTACACAGCACTTGGATCTTAAATAACATTTAACCCAGAAGTATCTGAATCTTTTTATTCAAAGTTTAAGCCTCTTTCTTTACCAATGTCGCTTATTGAGCTTAAGCTGGCTTTGGGCCCATTGTTCTGAGCAAGGTCTCTAACTAGTGCGCCAAGGCTGCAATAAACCATTGACAATTTTATTGAGATTATTTTATTTGAATTTTGATTTATTTTGTGCCGACCATTTGCAACCAGCCTTTTAATTAAAAAATGTATGGCTGAGGCAGACTTCACCTGATTTGTAAATTGAAACAAAAATACCCTTGAATAGCGCCCCCAGTACTCCCCCGGTTAATGAAATAAGTTTTTATATAATTCTTTTACCTTAAGTTTAATCATACTTTATAATTAGATTTCAAATATTATCAAAATATATTTCGGAGTTCAAAATATACGACCATACAATTTAAATATATATATATTTCTATTTTATAAAGATGAGGGTAACAAAAAAAATATATTTTTTTTGTTACCCTTATCTTTTCAAATAATAAATCATACAAATGCTTTTTGTTTCCATTAAACTTTTTATTTAATAAATCAGACAAATATTGTCCGTTGTACTCGTTTTTAACAATCTCTCTCTCTCTCTCTCTCTCTTTATATATACATATATATATATATATATATATATATATATATATATATATATATATATATATATATTATATATATATATATATATATATATATATATATATATATATATATATATATATATATATATATATATATATATATATATATATATATATATATATATATATATATATATATATATATATATATATATATATATATATATATGAACCAACCTTGGACCAACCTCTTCCCCTGTATCAATTCTTTTTCTTAATTGCATTGCGGTTTGGTAAGAAACCTTTGCGGTTTGTGCAATTTTTCATTGAGAATAGTTTGTATTTTGTCTAAGACATGTTTATCAATTTTTAATGTAACTATAATAATAATAACAATGTATAATGCAGGTTGTTGACCAATGGTTTATAATCAAAATTTAATATCGCTGGCGGTAAAGGTAAAGAGAAGTTTAAAGGAACAAACATTAGGTATTTACTTGTAAGTTAAGTGTAAAATTATATGTATAACATTCGATGTATAACATTCATACTTTATCCTAGTTGTTCTGGAACTATTGATAATAGTTATTATTGATAAATTGATAAATATATTACTGATAAATAAAACTTTTTTTTTTTCAAACATTTTATTTTATTTGCATTGTATATAAAGTTCGTTGAAGCAATTTAGTTGTATCTGATTAATTTACGTGAAATATAATATCCTCTGCGCAAATTATTGCTTTTTTGTTGTGTTATTTTATTGCAATTAAAGTTGAGATAATTTTTTAGTTAATTGGATTTAACCAAAATAACAAACAAAAATTAACGTTGAATTTACGTTGTTTCAACGTTGTTCTAACGTCTTATCAACTACGTATCAATCGAATATATCACCTATTCAAAATTGAAATATGGTTGATATGTAGTCGATAAGACGTTAGATCAACGTTGAAACGATGTAATCATCGACGTTGTTTCAAGGTCGTAGTTTTTGATGTCGGATTTTATTTCCAATTCAACCAAATTTCAACGTTGTTTCAACGTGACATATGGTCGGTTTGCGACGTTGTTTCAACGTTATTTCAACGTCATTGTGCCTGCTGGGGAGTAGCTCATATAAACTTATTCGTTTAATATCGTAGTTTTCTAGCTTGGTTAATAAAAAGTAATTGTTAACCGAGTCAAAAGCATTTTGCTGAGTTCTATAACAACACTAAAAGTTTATTTTTATCAATGTGAATTATGTTAACAAGATGAACAATTTCTTGATGAGTAGAGTTACCTTTTTTTATCTTTTAGAAACCCTTAACTTCAAAATATCGAAGAAATCAGGTCTACAATGTAAATTATGTCCATTTTTGTCTCAAACTAATCTAAATTTTATTAACTTTTCTTTTATACATAGTTACCTTGTGTATGCTAATTTATACATAGTTACCTTGTGTATGCTAATTTATACATTGTTACCTTGTGTATGCTAATTTAGTATGAACCAGTATTCATAAAACAAAGTTCGACCCAATCTATTTAGTTCAAAAACATGCTTCAAGACAAATTTACTCAAGCTCAACCCATATCGGAACAAATGAAGGAAATATCTTTCAAATAAATATTTAACAAGAATAACTACTTTTTTTAACTTTTAGCTGAACTAAAACCAAAATGTAATTTAACACTTGGAAGAAAAAAAAAAGATTATTTACATCAATTACAAAGTAAACCGACTTGTTTATATGTTTACATGTATAGTATAAAGATACTCAATGACAAGAGTTTTAGTCGTCTGCGAATTACCGATGATATTTATATAATATTTTAATATAAAGAAATATAGAAGTACATTTGTCAGAGTATTTATATGTTTACATTGTTCTATTGTTGTTTTCGATATGGATAATTATTCTGGAATTTCTTAAATATTTATCTCTAGTTAAATAAAGTGATTAAGTGGTATGAGTTATTTAAATGTGGCATTTCCGACCACTTCGCTTTTATTTTCTATTTTACAAAAAATGCAATAATATCTGTGCACCAATCAATATTAATCAATCAAAAACCCATTATATATATATATATATATATATATATATATATATATATATATATATATATATATATATATATATATATATATATATATATATATATATATATATTATATATATATATATATATATATATATATATATATATATATATATATATATATATATATATATATATATATATATATATATATATATATATATATATATATATATATATATATATATATATATATATATATATATATATATACAAACCGTCTTGCGTGATAAATAAATGTTTGAAGTTCAAGTGACCGTCTATGTTCGGTCACTTAAACTTCAAACATTTATTTATCACGCATAAATAAAATAAAAAAATTTCTTCTGAAACATACAGAAAATTATATTGATAATTCATATTCTAAAAATAAAAAAATAAAAACTCGTGCTCAATAATTAATTTAAAATGAAAACATCTGTATTAATTGAACTTTCAATACTATCTCATAAGTTTGACTGCTATATAAATACTAATAATCACAATAGGGCCGTACCGTGAAATTTTTTAGGGAAGGGTCATTTTTGAAAAAAAAAGGCATTTTTATAACACTAAACAAATATCTTACTAAATTTACTTAATAAAATTTTTGTGAAACATAGCTATATTTGTGTAAACAATGTTTACATAAACGAATTTATTGTTCTCCAAATATTTTTTCTATTTTTATACTGCATAGGCGTATAAGCAAGCTCCTTGTTAGAAAATGGGTATCGATACAAAGATTAATAATACTTTGATAAATGGTTAAAATTTTTATTCAAAGACTAAACTTTTTTGATACAATTTTCCAGGATGTAAAGTAAAAAATAATTTTGAGACTTGTTTATAATCAACTATTTCATTGTAGTGGATATTCATGATGGCTAATAAACCAAGTCTATTTGCAGTCATACTGGCCCTCAACCATGTTCTTAATCTTTGCATTGAAAATTAATCTTCGCACTGAATAGCTTTACATTCTGCGGACGTTACGGGTAGTGTACATCCGATCTTTAGAACTCAAAGAGATTAGGATATTGATTTTCATTGCAGATTTTAATGGCTTTAGCTAGAGTATTAGGCCTATTTTCAGATATAATAACAAGCCATTTCCTTTTCCAAAACATGAATTCCTGATCTACAGCTTCTGAGTTTGGAAGATCACTTTTATACATTTCAACTAACTCCTGGAAAGCAGTTATCTCCTAACTGTAAATTATCGAGGGAACCAAGCATAAAACCTTAGCAGCAATGTAATTTGTAATTTGGAATCGTATTTTGATTTCTGAAATGAAGGTTTCAAGAAAAGTTATAATCAAGGCCCGTTTATAATATTCATGGGGACTCTGTGCAGGTACGTTTTTTCTGTAAGCCTATCTCATAGTGATTCTGGGGATCGTTGGTTCTACAAATAATTTACTTGCCATACAAATAGCTTGTTGGTAAATTGAGTTAGATTCCTTTTTAACATTTTTCCGTAGATGGTTCAAATCGTCAATTGTTTCTTGAATGTTACTGTATGCATACACAATATCAGTTGTGCGCCCTGGTAACCTCTCCGTTATATACGACAACGGGTGAAGTAAGCGGTACAAAGTTATAACACCAATTATGAATTCTAACTTAGTGAGTACATTAAGGAGTGAGTCGGCCTCTCTTTTCCATACTAAACTCTATATTGATATATCCCAACCTATACTAAATATGTATCCCAATATATCTCCCAATCCATACTAAATATATATCCAAATATATATCCCAATCCATACTAAACTCTATATTGAACTGATCTATTTTAGAGTGTATTCATAAAATAATCTCTAATGCCTCTGCCATAAATGGTAATAACTAAATGAAAGTGTTCATATGCAGCATCTCTTTCTGGCCTTTCTCTTTCTTGTTTTGCACATCTCTATCAAAATCTTTTTTCTTTCAGTTGATTTATAACGGATCTCCAGCAAGCGTACTCTTTTTGGAGAGGTATTGAAATAAATGGATATATTTCTGTATACCTTCAAAATGTTATCAATAATTGGTATTTTTGATGTTGCAGCAATTAATAAATTTAAATTATGTGTGCTACAATGTGTCACAATTGCTTTTGGTTATCCTTTTAAAATATAACTGGCAACACCTTTTTTTACAGATTGCAAGTTTGGTGCACCATTGTGACACTGGCCTCTACAAGAACTAAGATCAATTCCACTTTCGCTATAAAATTTCATCAAGCTTTCCCCAATATGTTTGCCTGTTATTCTGTCAAGATTCAAAAAGTCAAGAAATACTTCTATAATATCTTTTTCTCCGTTTACGTATCTCATACATACGGATAGAATTTGTTGGTTTTCAGTTGTTACCGCGTCTGCTTGAAATTGAATGGTAATTTGCAGCCTTGATTTCATTAATTAGCCACTCTATACATTTCTTTCCAATTATATCAATAAATTCATTTTGAATTTTACGGTTAAGGTAGCTGACATCTTTGCGTAATGGTGTTTGTATATGTGCATTAAGTTATGGCAAGCTATTTCTTGCACGATTGCAAGAAAGTTTCCAGGATTACCTTTTTGGTCTGAGTTTTCCATACACTTTTCATATGTTCCACAAAATGCAAGTTCTTGTTTCTCCATCAAATGCACTATTCTACCTAATGTTTCAACAATGTAAGGGTACATTTTTTGTCGGTTTTTTAAATTGCTATCGATTTGTAATGGAATGGTTTGTCTTCGATCTTCAAGACGACAACAAATGCCATTAGCTTGTTCGATAGCTTCTTAATGGTATCTATTGCCTATATGTAGTTTTTGTTTCTCTAAAACATTGTGCTATTCCTTATATTCACAATTAACAAAAGCTCCCAAAGATTTTTTTTAATCCTGCTTTAGAAATAAAGTGCAGTATATGCAGTAGACTGCGTCTTCACTTTTACTGTAGACAAATCCATTTTGTAAATATTCTTCTTTACAAGCGCGTTTGCAACCATGTTTTTATGTTTTTGGGAAATTGAAAATGTATCTTTCGTTTTAAGTTATTCGTAAACATTTTTTATATTTCATGTGGTGATAATTCTTGGTTACCGCGCAAGAGTTCGTCAATATCATATCGTTTTTCTTCTTCTTTAAAATTACATTCTTTTAAATTTGTTTGGTCTACTTCCCATGACAAGTTTTTGTTAGCATTATTGTCAACTTTAATGACTTCCTCTTTTTCTTCTACTTCGGGTTATGTTTTATTGGTTATATTTTTAGAACTGTCGATAATAAAAAAACAGTTGAAACGTAAGTAATTAATAATAAACTTTCAGTTCTTTTAATTACATCTTTCATTTTAATTACTGTATAAACTCTGGAGAGACTATTTTTCATTATTTGTTTACAAAAGACTTTACAATGCAATGACTTGTAATGACGCCGTACGTTTGTGAAACAATAAAGTAAAAATTGTTTCATGAGAAAGATTCAAAAAAATCAAATAATTATCATAAAAATTTTGATTAAATATTTTGACGTCAGAATGATTCTAGAATTAATTTTTGGCGTCAAAAAAAAAGGCACTTTGCATAAAAATGTGGTCGATCGCACCCAACTATACCCCGCCCCCTTCCTACGTACGGGCCTGCACAAACTTAACGTCACAAATAGTGAAAACTAATTTTTAAATGTTGTTTAATTGTAAATTATGATTAAATACAGTAACTATGGAGGGCGTCCGGGCTGAAAAAAAAAGTCTTTTGGGACACCAAAGAAAACAAGAAGGAGCACATAAAAAAGCCCTTTTATAAGTAGTAGTATTTTTAATTTTTATTGTAGTTAATCAACTATTTTATTACTTTGGCCATTATCGCATTTGCTATGCCACTGGTTAATAAAATCAAAAAACTATTTTTTAATTAATTTAAAAAGGCTTTTTCAATTAAAAAAAAAACACACTACTTTGCTTTAAATGACCTTTGTATATTTATTGGAAATTCTTGCACTTATTTTTGACCATAGTAGAACGGTAAGATCCGCACAACCAATTGTCACAGGATTTGCAACACATCTATAATTGTCGTTGAGCTGTAATTTTATCTCCAAAAAAAATGCCAAAAGTTTTTTTTTTAGAACTCAAAGAAACGTCAGTTAATTTTGAAATTAGGAGCAAATTTTTTGTTTAAATAAAATACCATGGAGTGTATCCATTATAAAAATGTCAAAATTTACTGGTAAATTTACAGGTAAAGTTACCAGTAAATTATACATTCGCAACACTTATCAACATTTCACAATATTACTACTAATTGTCTCCTTTTTTTTTCTCCTTCGTTGTTTATCCGTGAATGACCAAAGTTAGAGTATTTCAAAATTTCACTAATTTTTATAAAAAAAGTAGTTAATTTTTAAAAATTAATAATTTTTTATTTTGTAAATATAATTAATTTAGTGATTCTTAATAATAATAAGATTAAATTTGATCATTTATTTTAATGATTTGCTTATTTTAGATTTTAATAGTATACTTTTTCTCAAGTTGTTGTTTTGCTGAAAAATTATTTCAGCAGGTTGCATACATACATTATTTTCTTTATAGATTTACGAAC